TTCTGATCCCCCTGAAATCTAGTCTGCACTCCCCAAGCCCAGCGGTTAGGAGACCAGTCTCCAGAGGCAACGGCCCTGGACTCGCACACTGCATTCAGCCTGGAATAAGACCACAGCACAGTGCACAAGCCTCCCAGCACTTACAAAGGAAACCAAAACTGCAGGGCAAACATCCCAACTGCAGGACCACGTCTGCTCTCCTGGTCATACCTTGTCCTTTAATTCCGAAGGGAGGTACAAAGTCCCTGATCCGTGCCCACTTTCGGAAGGAATCATCCAGAAACATGGGTGCTGGCTTGGAGAACCTGAAAAACAGAACAAGAGACAACTCTTAACCGAGGCACAACAACTTGCTGCCGGAGGGACAGGGACACTGCTGAATTACCGATCCCATGCTCACATGGCAGCCTGGGGAAAGCAGCAGCAGATTGACTCATGAGGTTTCCTTTCTACTTCAGAATCTACCCACAGAGGAATCAACATGGCTTTCACATAGGAGCAGTGTTACTGTGACCTCGGAGGCACGTCGGAAATCTGGAACTCTCTTCACAGATGACACTTCAGATAGACGTGCCAGCCCCCCGCAACAGCGGGCCCAGCCTCCTGCCCCACGGATGCCAGGAAATGCCACACAACCTTCAGCGGACTGGGGAAGAGAAATGCCTGGCTTTGCTGAGCGCTAAACCCCATGTAAACATCTCATCAGAAGGAGCCATAAACCCTTTCCCTGCTCTTGGCTAACCTCTCTCTACTTCACTGGTAATAACAACGCCCTTTCCTTCTGAAGGGACTTCTTTTATACATAATTAAGTTTCTCTACTTCAACCGCCTTTTACTTGCTTTGTAGTTACTTCTGACAACTTCTCTTTAGTTTCAGAAGGTTTTTACTGCCCTCCTTAGCTCCGCAGATTTTCACTGCCCTCTTCTCTAAGTGACTACTTTCATTTGCATCATGGAGTTAAACAAAAGTTGTACCTGGTATTTAGCTTAGGCTGGATCTGCTTCTTTCCCAGACTCGAGGAAGTACCTGAAAGTTTGTCTAGCATCTCTCCCACCTATAGAGCTGGTCCAAGAAAAGCTATCACCAAACAAATCTCACAGCTGATGCTGAATCCTAATCTTGCAGCTCCTAAATGCTGAACCTACTGGGGCAGGAGGCAGAAGGACTACAGGTCAACACTGCTCATCCAACAATGTCCTTTGGAATGAAGTAGCAGGTGGGGGCTGCTCAAAAGGACCAGGGACATCTGCAATCAGAGCAGCTTTCCATCCCTTATCAGCGCGTGTCTGGAACACTGCTGCCTGACAGCTTAAGAGCTCATGGCAGGCTCATGGCAGGCATGACCAGTTATCCAGCTTCTCTGGTGGGTTTTGCAGCCCTGTATGAGCTCCTGGCTGCTGAGCTGGGCTGCTTCAGTACCCATGCCAGCTTGTTTGGAGTTAGTGCCTTGCACTAGTCACAGTGATGAAGACGTACCTGTGTGCTACAGGGACACTTTCAGGCACCAGTTCCGACAGGACAGAAGGAAACTCCGCACCATTTAAGGTAGGGAGATGCCAGCCAAATGCAAAAGAGTTTGTGGAAACCTGAGGGGAGGGAGGAGAGGAGGAGAGGAGTACCTAATGAACTATGAAAGCAGAGTGAGTTGCACCCACCCATGCATAATGAGTCACACCCACTCCTGCAGCCTTTAATAAGATAATTAGCAATCACAAAGGCAGGGCACCAGGGATTGCGTGACTGTGCTGGGAGGAAAGGAGGGTCCTGGATGCTGAAAGGGCCAACAGCATGTGCCGGGGGAAGGGAGGGCAGGCCTGCTAACCAGCTCAGGATTGCTGAAAGTCTAGGGCAAGCAGAGGCCAGAGCTTTTTCAAAGAACTCGATCCAGGATTTCCTGGAAGTACTGTAAAAACTCAACAGCCGGAAAAATTACCTCAGGCCTTGCAGGGGCGGATTGCTCAGGGCTCTGAAACATAAGGTTGATGAAGGAACTAGGTACAAGTGCTCTTTGGAAAGCAGGCACCCTCCCACCACGCTGGCTGGGAGAGTCTGCATCAGTCCGGAACGAGGCAGGAGGCTTTGAGCTCCACGTGGCTGCAGCACACGAGGGGCACTTCCAACTGCAGCACAAACCTTTTTGTACAACAAAGAGAGATGCTTCCCCATCCTCCAAAAGCAGCAGTTTCTGGGCAGGACGGTCACTCCTTCCTGCTAAGCCCCCGTCTTGGGTTGCGGCTGCCAGAGCAGCCTGGGGATGGACGCACGCACGGAGCTGTCCAGGGAAAGCCGTGGCGCACAGCGGAGCTAGGGAGCAGGCGCTGTTGTTCCCTCATGGGCCAGTACTGAAGCAATGCCCCGCACAGTGCTAGGTCTTGGCCACTTGCTATCATTAAAGAATCCCTGATGCTGCCCAAACCCGTTCCCGTCCCAATGTTCACTTCAAGCAGTGATGAACTGTCCCAGGCCAGGCTGAGAGCTCCCACCAACACTGAACTTTCCCGTGGCATCAGCCCTCTCAGAGACACTTACTGAATCAGATAAAAGAGCGAATCCTCCTCGACTCCCCTGCAGGGATTCCTGAGCTGTCGGAAAGCCTGCAAGAAGGGCTCTTCTGGCTTCCCTTCCCACAGCCCCGGGCGCAAGGACATGTCAGCCCCGTGGGGAGAGGGGCTGAAGCATGAAGTGCCCTAATGACTCTCACCTGGCCTCTCACGGGTCCGCAGGTGGACTGCACCTGGGCTTCCTGCTGTGGGCAGTGGCAGAGAAACGGTCCCCGGGTCTGTTGTGCCCAGTGCAAGCTGGAAGGAGTGGAAACTCTGACATTCAGGCTAGGGTGGGTGCTGGCGAGGCAAATTGCATTTTTTGCATTATTTTGGGTGGGGAAACATTTACTGCCCGAATATTTCCGTGACCTATTTGCTATGAGAAAAGCGTGGCTCCAGGCCTTCATCCCAACTGGCACTATTCCCCTGACGACAAGCTGCAGCAGCACTGTCCGTAAAGTGGATTTAAGAGCTGGGTGCACACCCTGTACACACAACTGTGTCCCACACTCGTCCCTGGGGCGAAGGTCACCACAAAAGCGGGCAGCAGCCGCTTTTCCCATCGGAAGCTCAGCTGGTTTTAAAAGGCCAGGCAGGCATCCATGGGTTCCTAATAGTAAAGATCATTAGCTCCTCATTCGGCCCAGCCCACGTCTCCTGCTACTACCCTGTAGGGTCAGAAGAAAGCAAGAAAGGGACCCGGGGACATTTGCAATGTTTAGGGAAACTGGTTGTAGGGGCCAAGCCCTGGTGGGTGTTGAGAGGAAGCCACTGATGCCAGCAAAGGACCTCTACTTCCCCACAGAAAAGGAAGAAAGGGAAAACTGCAGATTCTTCTTTTAACACAGAGCACAGTGGCCTCAGGCCGTTGGCAATGTATGGGCTTGTATTTAATACCACACGTAGCATCAAGGGGAAAAGGCTGGATTTAATTTGTATTCCTGCTTTGGAAACAGCATACAGATGCATCTGAAACCCTGTTCGAGAAAATTATTCTGGCACACATCCAGGAGGGGCCAGCAGGGGAGATGATGCTTAGGGGCAACCAACACGGGTTCATCAGTGGCAGGTCCTGTCAGACCAACCTGGTGGCCTTTTACGAACAGATCACCAGATCATTAGATGCAGGGGTAGCAGTGGACATCGTCTTCCTGGACTTCCGAAAGGCTTTTGACACTGTCTCTCACTCCGTTCTC